AGAACTACTCATATCCAAACCTCAGTCAGTGAACTGAAGCTGCAACAGAGAAGCAGGGTTGCAATCGATAGTCTTTAAAATTTCGCTCTGATAAGATTTTGTGTGGTGCTGCTAGAACAGAACAGTTGGCACGATAGGGCCTTTACAGGAGTGGCACCCCATATGTGGACCCCCCCCCCCGTGAGCTGCTTCTGTCCCCATCATTAACATTCAGGAGGAATTTTAAAACATCTCTGTTCACCAAGGCATTTGATGGCTGAAAGACCGTATTCCTTGCAGCCTCGACATTATAAGCTGTGAGGATACACGACAGTTCTCAGATGATTTTAACCTTTTTAGATATTCCTGAAGTTCAAGTGCTTATATTTTATTTGCTGATGCATTGTTTTGCTGCTTTGTTATTTGCCACCTTTTGGAGCAAGGGCAGGATAGAAATGTAAAATCACCACCATCCCAAGAGTACTGTATTTTTCGCTCTATAGGACGCACCAGACCACAAGACGCACCTTGTTTTTGGAGGAGGAAAACAAGAAAAAAAAATTCTGAATCTCAGAAGCCAGAACAGCAAGAGGGATCGCTGCACAGTGAAAGCAGCAATCCCTCTTGCTGTTCTGGCTTCTGGGATAGCTGCGCAGCCTGCATTCACTCCATAAGACGCACACACATTTCCCCTTAATTTTTAGGAGAGAACAAGTGAGTCTTATAGAGCAAAAAATACGGTAGTTTGTGTATCTCCATTAGCCTTGCCAGTGACTATCAGAAACATGGAATAGTAGCAAGGAGACTCATATTGTGGTCGCGCAGATCCATAGAGCACTCATTACAGCCAGTAATCACTTGCCACAAGATGACCATATTTTTGGCAGCATCCATGTGGTGATTCTGACATGTGCTCTGGCCTACTTAAGCATCTTTACGGAGATTAAGTACATCTGTCTGTATTCTGGTCCAAGAAACCCCACTGTTACAATAGCTGAATGAACATCATGCAGCCATTAATAAAGCAGCATATCAACAACTTGCACTCTCTGGAACAGGCACCATAGAGCTTATTTATATCTGCTGCTGACAAGAGCCCAGGAACAAAAGGTAAACTTTGGGGGAGACTAGTTGGTGAGCTTGAACCTATCTCTACATACTTTTGATTGCAGCCATAACCAGTGAAGCCCTCCAGATACTAGACTACAATGCCCATCATCCCCAACATTTGACCAGACTGGTTGGGACCAAGAGGAGTTGCCATTCAAAAATGTCTGGAGGGCACCAGTTGGGGACCCACTGCTTTTACCCCTTATTTCAATCAAAATATTTTCAGGTTTTCTCACTTATAAGAGAACTGTCTGGAAAAATGCAGGGTGCATTGGCCTCAGAGTTCCTGGGTTTTAGGAAGTTTAGAAGGCTTTGCCAGGGAAACGAGCTAGCTGCTTTGATCTTGGACTAGGATAAGGCAGCTGGAATCTAGCCCTGCTTTCCCCCAGCAGTTTGTGAACAGGTTGGACTGAGGAGTGCTGGGTGCAATGGTTTGGAGCTTTTAAAAAAGTTACTTCTTTGGTGCATCCCGGGTCCTGTTCCATCTAGGCTGCAAGAGCAAGTGAGAGGGTGATGGCAGCAACTACCAGAGAACAGGACCCGCTGACAGCACTGCAGGGCTGTTGTGTTACAGTTGGACAGGCTCTCTTGGGGGTTCCCCCACCCTTTGTCACACTCTTCTCTCCCCTGTGTGTGCCCTCCCTACGAGTATGAATGACAATGTCCATTGTTGCTCTGGTCGAGAGCACATGGTTAAGCAGGAGGCCACTGACTGAACAGAGATGCTCAATGTTCTAGCGCCGTGACAGAAAGCACTGCTGTCCGAGCAGCCAAATAAAATTATAATATTCACTAGACTCTCCTTACTCTGATGCCATCCAGTTTGCTGCCCTAACAAGTGCCACCACTAAATTGCACAGTCTATTTATTCCTTTAATTTCTTCCCACTTAACATAGGTAATGGTAAAGGGACCCCTGACCATTAGGTCCAGTCGTGACCGACTCTGGGGTTGCGGTGCTCATCTCGCTTTATTGGCCGAGGGAGCCGGCGTACAGCTTCCAGGTCATGTGGCCAGCATGACTAAGCCGCTTCTGGCAAACCAGAGCAGCGCACGGAAACACCATTTGCCTTCCTGCCAGAGGTACCTTCCTACCTACCGTATTTATCTACTTGCACTTTGACGTGCTTTCGAACTGCTAGGTTGGCAGGAGCAGGAACCGAGCAATGGGAGCTCACCCCATCACGGGGATTCGAACCACCAACCTTCTGATGGGAAAGCCCTAGGATCTGTGGTTTAACCCACAGCGCCACCCCCGTCCCCTCACTTAACATAGTTGACCACATTTAGCAACAACTACTTAAATACAGCAGTTCCCCCACAGACACCGACCGTTGTGCCAGGATAGCTAACTGAATTTTCATATTTAGAGGCAGTGTGAGCGTCATGGCATCCTAACAGCTCCTTTAAATGAAGGGGAACCATTTCCATTCGAAGAAAAGAGGTGACACAGGAGAGACAAGTCTCTCCTAAATGAGAAAGGACTTTGGTCGATTTACAGCAGTGGAAACAGCAAATGTGGAAAGGAGTTAAGAACCCCTCACTCTCACCACCCAAGCTGCATCAACAGAAGTCTAGTGTCCTGATCAAGGGAAGTAACAGTACTACTCTATTCTGCCTTGGTCAGACCACCCCTGGAGTACTGCGGCAAGTTCTGGGCACCACAATTTAAGAAGGATATTGACAAGCTGGAACGTGTGCAGAGGAGGGCAACCAAAGATGATCAGTGGTCTGGAAACCAAGACTTAATAAGAACAGTTATGGGGTTTGAGTATGTTTAGCCTAGTATAGTAAAGAGGAGACTGATATAAGATATGGTAAAGGTAAAGAGACCCCTGACCATTAGGTCCAGTTGTGACCGACTCTGGGGTTGCGGCGCTCATCTCGCTTTATTGGCTGAGGGAGCCGGTGTACAGCTTCCGGGTCATGTGGCCAGCATGACTAAGCCGCTTCTGGAGAACCAGAGCAGCGCACAGAAATGCTCTTTACCTTCCCACCGGAGCAGTACCTATTTATCTACTTGCACTTTGACATGCTTTCGAACTGCTAGGTTGGCAGGAGCAGGGACTGAGCAACAGGAGCTCACCTTGTCGCAGGGATTCGAACCGCCGACCTTCTGACTGGCAAGTCCCATAAGATATGATAGCCATCTGCAAATATCTAAAGGGCTGTCACATGGAGGATGGAGAACGCTTATTTTCTCCTGCTGTAGAAGCTAGGACCCAAACCGATGGATTCAAGTTACAAGAAAGGAGATTTTGACTAAACATCAGGAAGAAGTTTCTGACAGTAGGAGCTTTTCTACAGTTGAACAGATTCCCGCAAGAGATGATGGACTCTCCTTCCTTGGAGGTTTTTAGGCAGAGGTTTAATGACCATCTGCCATGTAAGATTTAGCTGAGATTCCTGCATTGCAGGGGGTTGGACTAAATGACCCTTGGTGGACACTGGGGGGTGGAGGGAGACTGTATGCCACAAAGGGGAGGGCAAAAGTAACTGTTGCCACCCTGTTCTCTTTCATACGCATGCATGACCACCTTCTCAGCCAGTCTGTACCCTTCCTTGCTGATAGATGATAGATCTGGAAGATGCCTAGCTGATATACCCCAATGCTTTATCTATTCAGTTTCTCTTTTTGGCACCACCACCAACCTTGGTGGATTTTGGGAAGTGCAGAGAAGTGTGCTTAGAACCCTGGGTCAGAATTTCTCAATTAAATACTGGACGTTGCCATGTTTAAAATGTTTACAGTAAAAAACCCAAAAAGGCATATATGGTAAGAGTCAAGTATGTACAAAGTTTTTAACCTTAGATGCTTCTACTTCTTCCTCTTGATCTTCATTTACTAGCACAAATTACTTTATGGTACCGCACAACATTATTCTGCTTTGAGGTAAGAAATACGCAGTGCGTCCTCTTAGTTTGCCACAGCATATTTCAACAAAATGTTTCCCAACAAAAATGAATCAATAGGGGAAAAAATGTAAGGCAAACTCCACATTTAAATATAAAACAATACTGTACTACTAATAAACAATTCCACACTTTAAGGAAAACAATCAATCAATAGCTCTCTGAACGATGTACAAAAGAAGTAAAAGAACCACCGAAGCAAAACATACACAAATCAAAATAAGTAGAGTTACAAAAATAATTTCATTATGTATCATGAAAGTATCATAAATATTACAAACGCACACATAATCACCAAAATAATTCACATACACATTCTAAAAAGCAGAATCGCCCCCCAACGAGCACAGTTTCCTTATACGCACATCACTTCAGCCACTCAATTCTGACCTCAATAAAACACCCAAATGTTTAACCAACCTATAATCATGCAGAGAAAAATAGGTCCACTCAATAAAACAACAGCAGGGAGAAAAACACCACTCATTCCCACCTGAGGCAATACAGACACCTTCTCCCCACCTCTCACCTAGGGAGATTAAACCCTCCTCTGCCAACAAGCCCACATCCTGTGGGGAGTTAGGCACAGCCAGCCATCAGCGCACCTGATGCTCAGCACCTCACGGGCAGCGTCCCACCCTGTAGAGTAAATTAAAAACATCTTCCTTTAAAACAATGCTCCCTAAATAAACCTCACCCTTGTGGCTTCACAGTCAGACTAGACGGGAGAGGACTGTGGGTAATGGTAGGTAGCAGTCCATCCCCACTCTCCCTTTGGCACCTGAAGCATCTTACTTGATTTAGCACACAGCCTGGGCAGAGGTGGGAAACCTTTTTTAGCTTGAGGGCTGCGTGACCTAGAGGGCAGCCTTGACGGGGGTGGGGGTGGGGGTGCTAGAGGAAAAAGTGGGCAGGGCCATAGGCAAAAGAAGTGGACAGGGGCCAAGGCTGAGATCTTCGCACAGTAGGCTACATTGCAGACATGCAGAATGCAAAGGTTTCTACCTTGCTCAGTCGACAGAGCACAAGACTCTTAATCTCAAGGTCACGGGTTCAAGTCCCACATTGCGCAGAAGATTCCTGCATTGCAGGGGGTTGGACTAGATGACCCTTGTGGTCCTTTCCAACTCTACAATTCTGTGATACCCACCACTATCGCCGCAATACACACACACCTCTCCAGCCTTCATCCAGACAAGCATGAGGCACTATCACAATTCAAGGGTGCCTTCCAGCATCCAAAAACATTCTAGGAAGGTATGGATCAGGGCCAGAGAAGGATGCAGGTTGGAGGGGGTGTAGTCCCAGGAGTGTCCCAAGGGCCAGGTAAGCAGGCCTGGAGAGCCACATTCCCCTGGTGTAAAGGCTCATGTGTTCTTGGTTGATGTGTTATTAACCTATCGCAGACACAGCTTCTGGGCAGGAACTGTGTGCAGCCTGTGTTTTATACAGCACCAAGCACACTGCTGATCTGTTCACTTGGCATGCTTATTCATGCGTCCGAATGACACTCCCCACACCAAAGGCTCTTTCTTTCAAGAGGTAGCTGCTGCTGAAAAGCTTTCTGTTATAAAAAATAAACTAGCCACAAATAAGAAAACGACCAGCAGCCGTTAAAGAGATTGATGGCCCAAACGGAAAGGCCATTCCTACCGCACTCAGCCCATCAAGGACAAGGCATAACTCCACAGAAAGGGCACCATACCAATGTGTGGCCATTAAAAAAAAAATTCTTAAAGGAAAGGCAGGCATCATCTGTTTATGCTTATGAATCTTTCAGAAAACACCTTCTGTCCCAATTGGTGGAAGAAAAGTTGCTAAATGCCAACAGCCAGGCAGATGTTTTAGCAAACCAATTCTAGCTGCTCTGCCTACTGAAAAAGCCAGGCATGTATTCTCAATACAGAAACCGAGTTTATGTTAACAATGACTCTGCAAAGGTCCTTGCTGGTAATCAGCAAGTAATTTGGGCAATGGAGACATCATTAAGGACCCTTTTTCTTTTACCTTAACTTAATAACTAACTGCTTAACAAAATTACCACCTATTGTTAACACTCTCCAGTGCCAAACAAATCATTTTCAGGTGTAAACACAACCTTACGTCCCCCTCTTTTTAAAAGGTCATAAAGTTGTGACTTGAAAATTAAATAAAACAAAGAACTTCGAACTTATATGTTACTCTAATGGAAGAGAAATGCTCTTGATAAACAGTGAAATGAGCAGTGGTTAAAAACTCTTCATGAAACAACAATAATCCTCAACATATCAAGGTAGGCCTGGGACAATACAGTGGTACCCCTGATTATGAACTTAATTCGTTCTGGAGGTCCGTTCTTAACCTGAGGTACCACTGTAGCTAATGGGGCCTCCTGCTGCCACCGCACAATTTCTGTTCTCATCCTGAGGTAAAGTTCTTAACTCGAGGTACTACTTCCGGGTTAGTGGAGTCTGTAACCCGAAGTGTTTGTAACCCAATGTAACACTGTACTGAGTTAGCTGGACCAATAGTCTGACTCAATATAAGGCAGCTTTTGATATTTTCAGCAGCTATTAAATGACAGCTAAGGAGCAAGGAAAACAGACAGAAAGCTGCGGTCATGCAACCCAATCCTAGACATGTTGACTTGGAAGTAAATCCTGCCACAATGAATGTAGCTTACTCCCGATTAAGTATGCATATAAATTCAAACTAAGTCTGCAATTCTGTAGAAGCTTACACAGGAGTAAGCCCTACTTAACATAGTAGGCCTTACAACACAACCCTACTACGAATGTTTACTCAAAAGTAAGTCAAGCATGTTTGTAGCACCAAGAGAAACTATTGTGAAAGCTAAGGTCACAACTTCTGCAAACATGCACTCCATATGAGGTCTTGGATGTCAACTAAGCTGAGAAATGATACATGAAAGCAACCGTTACCCAGACCTTGACAAGTGAACTCAAGAAATTCAGACAATTTCTTGCTTAAGCAAGAAGCGGTTATGATGAGGCCTCAATAGATTGCCTCTTCCTTAGGCATGTCCCCTGCACCAGTCCCAGCCCCCTGGTACTGCCATACACAGTCACTACTCATTCCTAACAATATACTTAGTGCAGAGCTTCAACAAGAACTCTGGAATCACCTAGACTCCAAAGATTGCTCACTAGGGACTAGAAACAAAAGGGTTAGATGCCCTTCTGAGTATCTGAGGGCACCAAACCTCTTTTGTTTTGAATTACACTGTCCCAATGGGAGTTAAATCTTCAAAACACACAATTAAAAATAATTAATAGAAACATGACTTCAAGGGAACCTGATGTGCTACACTAATATTAGTAAAAATACACAGCTCCCTTTCTAAAAATTCCAGCAATAAATATGGAAAGCAGCTAAAAAAGACCACACCCTTCATTTATAATTAGTAAGATATCCTGGCACCTTCATTCTAAAGCACATGTATTCAGATGCAGGCCCCAATGACTGAAACTGGAGTTAATCTTAAGTAACCAAGCAAAGGCTACCCTATGCAAGTTTTACTCAAAAGTTAAGTCCCACTGAGGTCCACGGGATGGGTTTCTAAGTGTGCACAGGAATGCATTCAGAATGCTGATAGCTGAATAAGAAATGAAACTATCAGTTTGTGTAGTGTAGTGTCTCAGTGCAACTGCTACAAGTTACTAGGATGTGCAGTACAGTTTTGCGCCCATTTTTGCAAAGCATTCTCCTGTGTAATTAACTACAGTAAGGGTCCACAACCTTTTGGCCCTCACAGGCTTTAAAAAAAAATAAAAATAATACCCATTTAACACGAGGAAAAGCTGGTGATGCTCAGAATGCCCCTGAGCAGGCAAGGCATTTACACTCACCCCAAAATAAATGAACTAGAAGAAAGAAGGCAGCACCCACTCAAACAGGCAAGACCCTCCACCCAACCAAATGCAACAAAAAAGCCAACAGGAAGAGAGGGCACAGGAGCCTTGGCGCGTACACTGGGGACCCCAGAACCAGAATGATCAGATGCAAAGAGTATACACCTTTAAAAGGCAGGATGAAGAATATTTGGCACTTACATGTTTCCCCAACTCCTGCATGGCTAATACTATCTGCTCAAATCCTCTCTTATGCACAATAGCTCCTAAGTACCTCCTAAGTAGCTGCCTGACAAAAAAATGGAGCAGGAAAACCTTTTTTAAAAAATGGAAATTAACCTGTCATAATTTCTGCATGCCAGACTACTGTTAAAGGCATAGGAACAGTGTCAAGAAAAAAAGCAGCTACCCAACACATTGCATGCAAGCTAAATTCTAATCCCATTTTATCCTGTCTCTCCTAGCTACCATTACCTCTAGCTTTATTCTTTTTGTTTTATTAAAGATTTTCTTGTTTTACAGAAGTATGTGTAATGTCTCTTGTATTTGTTCCATGTAACATTTTTACAAATCCGTTTCATTTGTTGAGACATTGGGGGGGGGAGGGGTACTTTCAGCAGCCAGAAACACCATAACCAGACACTGGAGAGACCTGTCAGGAGTAAGCATGGACCAACGGTACCAAATAGTATGGGAAACAGCCCTACTAGAAAAAATTAACCATTACCTCTAGCTTCCTTTAAAAAAGGGGGGGAGGGGAGGAAACTTACAAGCAGACCATGAAGTTCTACACCTATATGTAGGAGAGTGAGAAAAGTACAGTAGTGTACTTTGATTTCATCCCATCTAATGCTACATGTGTAGCTTCGGTAACCCAGTATCCCTGTCCCATCAATACTGGAAAACATTCCATCGTGAGCAACAGCGTAAAAACTGTTAGCAGGATGGATGGGATATTTCCAAGCAGCAATTAGAATATAAACAAGCATGTGAAAATGTCAATACAGGTAGCAAGTACGAAAACCACATTCCAAGGGGTGGCATAGGACACACACATATTTTAGGGGGAATACTTTCCTCTGCTGAAAAAACTCGATTCAGGACCATAATGAGTTTTTTTGCTCAAGTAAAGGCAGAGAGAACAGCTAGCCAAAAGGAACTGCAATCCTTCATTGGATTTAGGCTCGGCTTTTTAAAAAAAACAACACCACCACAGAATTCTTAGTATTTTTTAAAGGTTCTTTACCAACAAGCATGATGCCATGAATGTTGCTCTCTCAATTCAGATGCCACCGGGAGCGCTTTAGAGGAGGTCGACCCAGGCGAAAGAAACCCGCATTCTCGGCCGCCAGACCTTCTCGAGCTACTTGCATGGGAGACCTTCTTCGACCGACACCAAAACTCTCCGAAAACTCGTTGGCTGCGCCCCCCTCCCCGCCAAAGAAGCAGCTTCAGTGCGGTAAAAGGCAAGTCCTGCTTTTCACCCCCGTCCCAGGCAGCTTGTGCAAAGCCGAAATCCAGCGACCTCCCCCCGGCTACCGCCTGGAGTTCAACTGTCCAGCCCTTGCTTCGTCACACTGCTAGTTCCCCGATCTCTTCCCCTCCTCGCCTCTCCCCGCTGCTGCTCCTCCTCCCATCCCGGCTAAGCCTTACCGGATTTAGGAGGATATCTGTAGATGGAATTAGACGGGATGTCCACCTCTTCCACTCCTGCGTTCTGCCGGCTGGTTAGCGCTCCCATGCTTGAGACGTAGTACAGTATTAGAGGGCATCCGGGGAGGAAGCGGTCGGGGGTTGGGGGTTGGAGAGAGACGCCTCCCTAGCTCGCACCTTGGCAAAGCGAGACGAGAGGCGCGGAAAGGCAGCAAGGAGACACACGCGCGCAGGCACTCAGGTCAGCCGCTGCCTCCTGCAACTGCGCTACTGGTCCCTCACTGGAGAAGCTGCCGCATTGACTTGCCTGCTGCTGCCCCCAGGGGGGTGGCGGTGCCTGCTGCTGCTGCTACCGAGCAGGGGACAGAGGCAGCCATTCCCCCCATCTTTTCCACCCCCATTCCCTCCTTTCCGCCCCCTCTCCTCCTCCGTCGCCCCCCCCCCCCGCAGCGAAAGGAGTGAATCAACCTGGGGACCGTTTAGGCGAGCTGGGCTAACGGGAATCCCTTATAGATGGGATGGGGCGGGAAGAAGCCGGCGCTGCATGCATCATCATGCACATAGCTCAAGCT